TTGTTGTTGTTGTTGTTGTTGTTGTTGTTGTTGTTGTTGTTGTTGTTGTTGTTGTTGTTGTTGTTGTTGTTGTTGTTCTTGTCACCCGCTACTATTATTATCTTTATTTTATTACCATTACAAGAATTGTCCCTAATTCCACATGGATACCACCCCCAATTCCACACGGATACCACCCCCAATTCCACACGGATACCACCCCCAATTCCATACGGGTACAGCCCCTCAATTCTATCCAGACACCACATCACCCTACTCTTCTTTCTTATCACTCTGCATACATCCCACATATTATACTGATCAAAGGAACAAGGAAACAAAAAAGCTTGTTCCTGTTTGAAAATCCAATATTTCTATAAACGTTGCTACAGGGATTGCCTTAGTATGACATATTAGTATAAGGGTGTCAAAATTCGTCTCTCCACATTTTGCATGCAGTCTTTATTGGTTACACATTACTTCTCCACAATAAGCCCCTGCATCCTTATGAGACTGTTACCTCTGTCAGTTTATCTGACAGTAACAACAAAGGGTAAAAAAAAAAAAGAAATCGAGTAACAAGAGCTGACTTGCAGATCGATTGATAAACAATATAAACAATAGCAGTGACAAAAACCGCCGCTCCCGTCTCTCCTTCGCCCAAATGAATCGCTCTCTACATATCTGGTTTGTGACCTCAGCCATACATGTTCTTACATATGGCGTAAGTACACACTACTAAATAAATGCTATACATATCACCTGCAAAGGTGTTGTCCTACATATACATTCAAATGATCGTCTTCTCGCTTGGGTGTTTCTTTTTACACCTGTGCGAAATAAAAATTTTAAGGTTTGCTTTTCTCGCTTAGCATCAAGTAGAGGAGGGGCGGAGGCAAGGGGAGAATCAAAATGGCAAAATGAGGCGTTCTCACTTGCATGGTGTACAGTAATGATATAGGGATATTAATATAGGGCCATGGAAACAGAAACAGAAACAGCAACAGAACAGCAACTTTTTTTTTTTTTGTATAAATTAATGAAAAGCAAATTATGCATATTCTCTTTCTGCGCATATGCGGATGTCTTGCCAAATGAAGACTTATAAACAAGGTGACAATCCTGATTGTGAGCAGAATTGGGTTAATTAGTAGAAATAGAAGAATACCCTTTTCTCTTTTGCTTTCTCTCCCCAGTTATTTTCCCTTATTTTCTCCTTATATTATCTTATCGATTGTTATTTTGTATGCATTCTGCAGAAAGTTGCAAACACCCGCATATCATGTTATTTCTTGTACATGCCAGATCTTGAAAGAAATCTTGATAATATGCGTTTTTTGGCGTGATATTTAAAGTATTGATAGACGAGGAATGTATTTTTAAACTTTGAGCTCACAACATGGTCAGCCCATTTGTGGCTAACGCACAGCTCAAGGGTCCCAATCCTCCGCCTCCCTCCCCATCCCCTCCCCATCCCTCTCCCCATCCCTCTCCCCCAAACTTGACACATTCAAAACTCAAATACGCGCTTATTTTGTGACTGATGCTGCATGTTCAGGTCACGCACGCATTGTGGCTGTCAGTATGGAAACACATTGTCTCTTCAATGTTCAAACTTCAATCGTTGTGACACAGTTTTCCGATGAAAATGGAAAGGTGCAAGTTGGCGTGAATATGAATGAAACGTTTTTTAATCAAAAATGGGGGGGAAAGGATGCGGGTTATCATTTATCGTGGCGTAATCTCAGTTCAAATGATGCAGGAAAATTGCGATTGGTTGTAAAGCACATACAGTATGTTGTCTGTTGTTGTAAATTTATCAATACACGAATGAAAATTGAAATCATGTAAGCGGGAAATTGGTTTACCAAAGCCGAGTTTATATAATATATTAAGTTTATACGACATTTACAGACAAGTGATACCGACTATTCTATCCCATAGCAGGTTTAGACAAACTTATCATGGGGCGATTCTCATAAATTGAATTCCACGGTGATGAAAATACCAGTCTAATCATTATTGGACAAACAAAAATGACAATTTCTTCAATAGGATGTTATTTCACCATATCCCGTAATTGATCATCTTGCAAGTGTTTGTGTCCCACTCGAGGTAATAAAACACTACCGGCGGAAAACGCCTTAAACCTCTCGATTGCTTTGATATTTTATCTTATCAATCTACGCAACTTTGATTAGTAATTAAAATGAAGGGAAAAAAGTTTAGTTTCAAAAAGAGATTTTTTATTGTATAATCTACGCAAAAATAGTCAACTCATTGTTGAATGAAAAACTATATGCGGTTGTCATACTGTAAACATTAATTTTAAACTGTCCTACTTTGGCAAGAGAAACAATTTATCAAACCATCAACGCAATCAACAATTCTGGGTATCATAAATGACATCTTTCTCATAAACAAGCCATATTTGTAACAAGTTTGTCGTTCTATGGCATTCTCGTCAATTTCGATTTCTTTTTCTTTTTCTTTCTTTTTCTTTATTATTCCATCTCATTCTATCAATGACAATGGAAAAAAAGGGGGAGGATAAATAAATCCTGTATAACAATAGCCAAGCCGGGGAGTAGTAAAAAAAATTTGTAATAATTTTTCCACGCATGTAACCGGGAAATCTTGCAACAGAGAAAGTCTAAAAATAAAGATTACAGTCTTGTGAACTAGATAGACTATTCATCATTGGTCGAACGAGTTTCGTAACTCGAAAACTTTCAGGAAAAAGTTTTTTGAGTTCTGATCTTAATGTACATCAACGCGTACCAAATTATGCATGAGCGAGCATGCATATACATTAACCGAAGACTGCTGTACGAACTGTAAGTTAGTCAACGAACTCTCTGGCTGATCATCCATCAGGAAATCCTTATCCATAGGTTCGATATTGCTATCCATGCTAGGCAAACTCTCCATCTAACTCTTGAACGTTAACCAGTTGTAACTAGCTCTTTTACAATCAGTATGGAGAGGGATTGATAAACGTGAAATTTACTTTGTATCCAGTAACTAACTATGTTATAATCATTTAATTAGTGATTGATCATGACAAAGTAATTGATTTTCTCCCCATTCTAATTTCCACGAAATAAAGGCCAATAAGTTAAAATAAATACAGTGAATCCGAGAATAAAAGTGACGGTTGATATATTATTTGCAGGGCGGAAAAACTAGAATTTTGATCATTAGAAGAGTAACGAATAAAAGAGAACACTCATGACTCTACTCTAAAAATACACAGAGTCCTAATCCTCACTTGAAATAATAATAAAAAAAAAAAAGCCTTGAAAAGAAAAAAAATCAAAATCAAAAAAAAAAAAAAACCAACAAAACAACCAACTTATTGCGACTCTCCATTAAGGACCCAATCTGCAACATATGAAAACTCGCGGAATTCTTCTTGGGAGTTTGCACCAAGTCTAGAGTTTATGGGTGTCAACATTGGAATCTCTGATGTAAATTCCTTGTCAAAGTTGGATGTGTCGGTTGGCGATGACTATCAGAAATAGAAACAAACATTCATGAGTAAAACGTTAATCCATCACAAATATATGAATTCGAATAGTTGTCGGTGAAACATATAACAGAGACATCAACTATTGATGATACTCACTATAGTAGGGTAGAATGGTGGTGGTACTTTCTTAGCAAGCATGTCATCCCAATTCACGCCTTTGAAAAATGGATGTCGCTTGATTTCTTCTGCGTCCCCTTTGCCTGACCCAAGTCGCCGTTCGGGATCCCGTGTAAGTAGCTGCAAAAGCAAATGACAAAGTCAGTCTCTAAAAAAATCGATGAAACCGGACGACGCAATATTAATACATACTCTTTGTAATATTGACACTGAATCTCTTGACATGTTTATGGGATACAAGATTTCGTCCTCAAGAATAGCATCAAATATTTCATCTTCATCATCACCTCTGAAAGGTGATTGACCCAACAGCATC